GTGCTCTGTTTCACTAAGATACTGACCAAAGTGGAAGTGCTTGGATGTTTAAGGAGAGGAAGGCCAGAAGAGGCTCCCTGCTGGACCACCCAAAGCTGAAGAGGAGTTTATATGGAACAGGAGTCACCTTTACCCATCTGATTTTTTTTGGAACAGCACTTCTTTCATGTTCGCAGCGTGATATGTTGCGCACATTCATTCGGCGTATGCACGTACACTGACTTGTCTGTCATCGCAGCCTCCTCGTGGCAGCCTCTACCAGCTTTCTATCATCTGCTCGCTTATAAATACACAGTGAAATATAGTTTTTCTCATATCACGCAAATGCACATACACAACTCTCCTAACTATTTCCAGGCACATACACGCATACTTCTACAGCATACATAATCATTACTGTGTGTTCGGTACATACCACGTAAGCCCACAGCAGATCTTTAGAACAGAGAAGGCTCAGCTGAAAAATTCAATTTTATGCAGAAATATTCTTTTCACAATATAATTAAACATCAAAGGCAGGACTATTCCTCTGTGATTGAGCAGCACTCTGGTGAATCAACTCCATACACCACCTTCCACTTTACAGCGAGAAAGAAAGTTGCCAAGCGTCACTGCTAATTACAAAATAGAGACAGAAGCAAAGTTAAATTCATTATGCAAAAACCAGGACAGACTCGTGTGCGCTGTGTACGTTCATCTAATGCCAAACATCATAACCTCTTTGAGGGTAAAAATGACTTATCTGAAGCTGGTTTATTTGCTTTATTAAACTAATTTTTAGCCTAGTAAATGAAGCTAAGAGAGTATGGAAAAAACTAAATGAGAAAATGTTTGACTTCACAGACTCAAAATTAACACACTGCTGTGTAATAAAATGGGCTGATATTACTTTTTATTATTATTGCTGAAGAGTTACAATGAAAATAAAGGCTTTTTTCTTTCTCTGTGAGCTCATGAAACTTACTGGGAGATAGTGGCAAATGTTTGGGGGAAAATTAGAACACATTTAGATTAATGACTATTACTTAAAATTAATTACTACATATTTGTTTTGCATAACGCCTGCTTGAAGATGAATAATCATTCATTACACTGCACATGCTTTCTTTAACTGACAGCAAAAGAAGTGTATTTCACCTATCATTTTCCTTGGACAGTACAACCTAGTGTAAATTTGTGCTTTGGAGGGGCACACAAACTGTGCCTGTAAATGCCCCTGACAATCGGCTCAAGTACCTCAGCCAATCAGAGTGACACGTGGAGAGCTGATCCCTCTTTGGGAGAATTGTAAGGCCATTTTGTCACTGTTGGTTTTGTGAATCGACAGAAGCCTAATCCCTAGTGATTTCCTAGAGACGACAGGTCTGAGGAGGATCGCTCGTGTTTGTGTGTGCGTGTCTGTGCGTATATGTGCATGGCTATCAGAGGACCCTCTGAGTGCAATCATACGAGTCCATATGCGACTGTGTTCATTTTCCTCTTGGGCAGATTAAGCAAACACTAAATCCCAGAAGAGCAACAGGTGAGTTACTCACACACACACACGTACATACACACACACACACACAGACACACACACACACAAACACACACACACATATACAGGAGCTTCATTGATTGTGTTTGCATGTCCGACAGTATAGTCTGAAAGAGAGTGCACACGAGGTAGAAGTGACAGAAATACAATACCCTTTTGCATGGAGAAATTGTACCTCTATTTGAAATTTAGCAGTGCTACTGAAACTGTTAAAACAAAAACTATGACAAGTAACCTATTATATTCTTTCATGGTTAAGTACAGGAATGCTAGAAAAAAATATGTTAAGACATAAAAAAGTGCCAAAAAATAATTCTCCTGTTAATTAAACAATCTCATTCTTTCATTTACATCTGTATCTGTCTTCACCTTTGTTTGTAAAAGTATGCAGATTCTCTTTTTTTGCAACTACCAGCTTAATTAGTCATTTCAAAATGTAATTAGATTATAACAGCTTCTTACAATAACTCCTGAAAAACTGATATAAAAATGTTGCATGTCGTTCCAAATGCTACATTTAAATACATATATAAAAAACACTTTTTTTGTCTTGATAAACACTTTAATTCATTATGATAGCAGGGAATTGTAAATTGTAAATCTGGTCCTCATCTTCACTCTAGCTTTATTTAGAAATAAATCTCTCTCTCTCTCTCTCTCTCTCTCTATATATATATATATATATGTATAGGCTATAAACTCACAAGTGTGTATGTATATAAACTTGTTTTAAGCTAATACAATCTTAAGTTTAAGCTTACTGAGAAAAGTAACCAATTATATAGCCTACTCTCATAAAACTGAAAACTATGGACTTTTGGCAATATAATAAACGGATAAAGTCTCTTAGCTTGAGTTGATGTAGTAGAATATTTAGTTAATTACTAATGTTGCTTTTCATGAAGCTGTAATTTTTTTCTTTAGTTTTATTGATGTATGGATATACTAGCAGAGTTGGTCTAATTCAATTTTCGACTGTAGCGCTTGATTTACTTGCATATAAAAATAGTGAATAGTGTCAATGAGGCGAATGAAAGTTCATATTTGAGCGCCTGTTAATTCAACACAACATTTATCGGCTTATGACCCTTGGACCTCCATACATCACCAGACAGCTCTTTTACTATTTTCACAACGGCACTAACTGTAATTTCATACATGAGCGCTGTAAAGTGTGTCGGATTATTCTGCGAGCTGATAAAGCACTTTAAAAGAACCCAAAAAGCACGCGTCTGTTTTGTTCTCTTTAAAAACCCTTCAACATAAAGAAACACTAATAGTGATTGTCCTGTCAGCAGTCACAGAAATAACGTGTGTTGTCAGGTCAACTTTCTTAACGGAGATTCTGTAACACTTTCCTATGTGTTCTCGAGAAAAATAACGGAGATATAAACTCATCGAATTATTGTTTACCAACAATGTCACATAATGTAGGCTTATCAACGAACAAATACGCACCGGGGTCCGGTATCAGTGTCACTTACTTCATGGTGCGTCTGAAGTGTGTCCGGTGAAGTTTGTCCTGCGGTGTGACGGAAGGTGTTGAGCCGCCGGGTGGACTTCACCGCTTCACACTTAAAATCCACCAAAAATCACCAGCACCACAGGAAAAGTGTCGTTTTCTTAATGCGTGTTTCTTTTCTTGTGTCTAATAAAGCGTTTAAGATGCTGAGGTTGGTGTCGGTCGTCCACGGTGAGGAATGATTAAGCCGTTATTGCGCCTGATGACGGGCTAACATCAATCCAGTGTTTTAATGAAAGAAGCGCAACATTAATGCGTTTTTATCTTCTACCTGATAAAGTCAAATCACACTGTGTGTAATCAAAGTGTGCACAGACACAGAGGTAGCCTAGGCTACTTTTAGTTTTGTGACTTTTAATGATATTTTTAATTTATTTAAACTGAATATTTTACTATACAGTATATTATGTCATTTGTTGTAGGTTGTAGAGATATACAGGTATATGGTAACACTTTATTTTTACGGCGTCCTTGTTAGAAATTACATGTAGGCTACTTACTGTTGTAATAACAATAAATTATGCATAATTACATACAACTAAACCTAAACCAAACCCTCATCCTACAACCCTAACCCTATAGTAAGTACATGTAATTAATTATTATTTAGCTCTTAAATGTATAATTACACTGTAACAAGAACCTGAAACAAGGTTTTAATTAGACCCAAACCTAGCCTGATGCAATAAATACTGTAAAATATTTCAGCCCATTAAAATGTAAAACTGAAGTTTATTTCCTGTCTTATTTGAAGTATATTCAAAGTGAAAACCTGCAGTGATAGGTTCATTGCATGTTTTCAATAACTTTGAATTTAATTAGCAATAAAGAAAATCAAGCTGAAACATTGTAAGGTTAGTTAAATCAATGGAAACAAAGATAGTGTTCGATGTAAGCATAAAAAAACATTTTTTTTTGTTTTTTTTTTGAGAGTGTAGGGGAACTCTTAAGGTCCACAGAACTTTTTATTCTCTAGTTCTTTCGAAAACAATGTATACAGTAGGGCTGTAATAAATCCAAATCTGAAGAATCTATAAAGTAACATAAATTCTACAAAAAATATAGCAAATATAGCCAACACAAAAACTGTATAGAGCGATAATTTCTCCTAGCACTAGATTCATATAAGCCTCCATAGATTAGTGCTCTCTCACAGCCCAATCTTTTCGCCATATATTTAAATGAGCTTCCTTCTCACTGAAGATAAGTACTGTAACACATGCTAAACATGAATAAATCACAGACAGATCTGTCCCACCATAAAACGATTTTAACGCATCTAACTGAGGAATCAAGGGATGATAATTAGAGAAACCTTGGTTGCTATCACCAAAGCTCTCCATGCCAAAGACCACCCCGTGAATGTTTAGAAATAATGAATGAATTCAAGTTTAAAGGTTGATAAAGGAATAGAAACTATCATATTGCTGTTTTTTCAGTTCCCCATCTTAAAGTGGTCATCTGAATTTCACCATGCAGATATTTCATTGCTCCATGAAGCTATTGCCTTAGATTTAACCTTAAGCACCACTGGAGCCACTGACAAACAAACCAGAGGTAGAGGTAAAACATGAAATCAGTTAATGAATTAATAAAACCTGCTAATCTGCCTGACAGACTGTAACTGGACACAGCAGTATCAGCTTCCGTGGGAACCCACTTCTGGGTCACAAGACACTGTAATCTTGAATTGCATTTTTATTGGTAATTTCAATATCTTGATCAATACAGCTTCGGTCCCACCAGCTATATGATAGCACATGCTAAGTTTCATCAGATTCTCTGATTCACCATATATTTACATGGACATTTCCTAACATTTGGCCAGTCAGCTATATGAGTCAATGAAAATGTCTTTAGCCTCAGGATCAGTAGGCCACAGTATCATTTTTATTAACTGTTACATCTATTTGAAAAGCATGTATATTATGTTATACCCACTGTGTTCACAATTGCTTCAGTTCTTCCAGCTCCAGCACACAGTTTTACCAGGAAGACCCTCTTAGGTTTCAGAGTGCGGTTTTGTTTGTTTAGTTGGCACCTAGTGAAGAGACACAAAGAGAGAGAGAAATTCTTTCTGTGTTAATAGCTATATCTAGGCACAGTGTTCAAGATACACTGCATGGCTGGGGGAACTACAAAAGGAATAAATAAATATATTAACAATGTTACTGAACTGCCTCTTGCATATTCATGTCTTAGGTAAACTAGATAAAGAACAGGAAGAGAAACAGAAACAACAGTAACTACAGCAACTATACCGTATATCATTGATGGTGACCTGGCTGACTTAGATCTGCATAAGCATTTGCCGTTTTAACCACAAATAATCCATTACTGTTATTCTTTTTCTGGCATGCAGGAAATAACCTTTATTGCACATTTGCAGGTAAGTATTTACTATTTGTTTCCAGCCATTTTCTGCCATTCTCTTTATATGGATAGATATACACACACATTTTAAGATATAAAATAAATATATAAGAGCATTTAATATATTTAAAAATATTTTATATGTTTATTATTTATTTGACACATTTTAAATATATTTGATTTGATTTCGGATTGGTAAATTTAACTACATTAGTTCAGTCTACTAAACATTGTGCAGTAGAGCTGACTAATGAGTTTGTTAAAATGTTAAAATTGGCCTGTTAGAATTTCCCCAAAGGCACTTTACTCTAATATCTCAAAAGGGGGTTTCTGTCAATGGAATCATAAAACTGTAAAGATTAGTTAGTTTTCCTGACCTAATTTACAAACAGAAAGACACATTCTGTATACATTATTCTCCCTTTTGTTTTCTTTGGCTGTCGATCCCTAGACTGTCGGACCTGCTTGCCATCACTCAGGATCAACAATCCGATTTCCAGTAAGTTCAAAGCCACAAGGAAAGTGCCCAGTAGCAGTTATGTCATTTCGTATACACATACAAGAGGCTTTTCAGAGAAAGGTAATTTTGAGGTTTTGGCCTCATCTGTTCATGTTTGTAACGAGCAGATGTAAGGAGATGGAAGATAAATACACAATGTTAGCGGCTGACAACAATCCCGCCTACGTTGTTTTCTTTTCGGGAGCCCGGTAGTTACCCACGTGTGTCTTATTATCTTCAGTCAGACATAAGTAGCGTTCGGGAGGATAGAAGGACAAGGCCTCTATTTCATTTTATTTTAAGAGCACGATAAACATCAACACATTTTCTTTGGCAAACAGGAACAAGCAAGGCTGTTAGTGTTTGAGTGTGTGCGTGAGTATACGTGTGTAATCTGTTGCTGATCACACTCATGTGAAAACACAATCTGGCTGTCAGAGCTGATAACATTGTCAAGTGCTCAAACACCAGCGCTGAGCTTTCACAGTGCATGAGAGCGCCGGGATGAGCCTGTCTCCCAAGTCTGGCCAGATCATAGATTCTTCTTTTCCCCTCCTCATTTTCTCAGTTTATTTTACTCCTCCCCTCTGCTTCTCTCTCTCTCCCTGCCACCTTCAATTTCACCCGTTTCCTCTCTTTCCCTCTTTCCTCTCCTAAACTTTGAAGTTTTAGATAGGCAGACAGATAAACACACCGACAGGCAGGGAGAGGAAAACACACTTACTAGCTGGGGTATTTATGCAGCACAAAGTTATGTAAGAGTCTCAAAATGGGTGTAAAAAATGGCTTTAGAGGGCTACAGAACGGCATTTTTGTTTTGGCTTCAGTTCAGCATGCATTTATGTCTCAGTGTATTGTTCAGTTTCCTTATGGTCTGTTTTTACGTTGGAATGCCTTATATTTTAAAATTGTACATTTAAATAAACTTATAATATAATATAATATAATATAATATAATATAATATAATATAATATAATTATTAACCTATTTATTAATATAAAAAAATTTCCCCCTAAAATTATTCATATATTCTTGTGCCCAAAAGGCAGATATTTCAAGCAGGCAGATATTATTTTATTACTTTAATATAATATATTATATATGTTTTTGAAAAATTGTTATCTATAAATCAATCAATTAACCCATCAGGAGTTTGTATATCTGTCAAAGAATCTAATACAGTAAAAATTAAAGCTGTATGTTTTTCAAGATATTAAAGGGGCAGTGTGGTCTTTGAGATCCTAAAAGAGACATGATGGTTAAATTAAAAACTAATATGACATGGAACATCTGAAAGCATTTTAAGCTACAGTAGCTGCACACAAATGTATAAGACGTGTCTCTGCATGTTCACCTTTAATCATACAGTATCATTCATTCATTTCATAAAGGTCCTGCAGGCTAACTGAATCAGTGCCATCCTTATTTTTGGCCAATTTGGCACATATATTAAGCAAATGAATGCCTGATTTATCTTCATCCCACCAGCCATTAAAGATCAGGTTTAATAGTTCTCAGTAGAGGCTGAGATCTCATCTTACATTAGCTCTGACCCTTCAAAAAGTCTACAGCAAGCCATTCTACATATGGCTGCAACTTTCAATGGATCTCAGAGTAATAAAAAAGTGCAACTTTACCTTTCCAAGCATACATTTAACTTGGAAACTTCTAAAAGTGCATTGCTGATGAAATCATCACGGTTTGAGCCTTCTCTTCATTGCATTTAAATAGCACCTGAGCACGCTAACACATATTGTGGTTGGAAGAAAACCGGTAGTGAAGTGTTGACTCGGGTGGGGACAAATTTGGTAATTTGCATGTTCTGTTGGGCAAACAGCGCGTGAACGCTACACCTTTGATTCATTATAGATGAACCACAAGCAGCACAACACGGTTAAGCCTTTGTGCAGGATGCTGCTGCTCTGGTTTCAGTATTAAAGCTGTGTGCTGGAAAAAGCCACCCCAGTTCCAGTTACCCTGCACTCTACTGAAGTCTTTATCTCCCCTGTCAATACACCTGTACTCTGTCCCACTTGCTAATAGAGGCCTAAATAGGAGTTAGTGTCAACTGACAGTAAAAGTTGAAAACTATATTTGTTTTAACTCCAAACATGTATGAGCACAGCTTAAAGGGCAGTTTCTTGGAACAGTTCTCTATTGACTTGTGAGAGAAATGTGTACCTGCAATACATACTTCTGCCAGCAGGGGCACACTCAGGCTTTCTCACAGCTGAGTCAACCCTGTCCATCACAGCTAAATAACACAAGAGTTTAACTGTAAGTTAAATGGAGGCAGCAACCAACATATATAAACAGCATTATTGGAAGTAACATGCATAGAAATAAATTAATAAATAAATAGTCAGTCTCTTTATTTCAGAATTTAAATTTCTGCTTCCTAAAATATTCTGTTGATTGTATCACTTTCGCATCTTTGTATATTTCACCCTTCAGCTCAAAGTTCCCTTTGTCTGTCTAATGTTAAAAGCTGGAAAAATAAATATATATATATAAAAAATACTTTAATGATTTTTCCTCCTTTGAACGGTGGAAACTAATTCACTCATAACCTCTGCGAAACTTGCACAGTTATTTCATTGTTTCAACATGTTTTTTTTTTTCACAACGGCGGCACTAAAAAAGATGCCAACATCACATTTTTCTCTCTCCAGACTTAGAGTGCCAACCGGTGTTTCCTGAGCTTGAGCAGAAGTCGGGTCCTAACAGATGGTGGGCATTATGGACAGGCAATGGAAATTCTACCTATATTTTCTTACATTTATTTCAAACTGCTCATAATAGTTGCTTTACCAGACAGTGTAGATTAACTGTGCAGGGGGGTGGTTACGTACATGTATAAGTATGTCTGATGTGTTTTATTACAGAAAACGTTTTTGTCACAAACTCTTATTAGACATCTGCAGTTCTTTTAAATACAGTCTCTTTCATCCCTTCACTCTTTGTCTGTGTTGTTCTCTCATTTATTCTCTCTCTCTCCAACAGTGTTGAAACTGCTTCTCAGCGACACTCATACACACTTCAGGTGGTAAAGAAATCAAACTCACTTCTACACTTTTAACTCTCTTGATTTCTCTCCTCAGACTGCAGTAGAAAAAAGGACCATTGTCCTCTTGACCTGAGACATGAACTGAGAAGAGAAGCCCCTCTCTATGCCACATAAACCGCAGAATATACTGGATCTTAAGGCCCACAGTGGAAAGGCCTTACCCATAAATTACACAAAGCAACATTTTACAAAGTACCTTCAAGAAATAAGCTCACCTAAAAATGACAACCCTTTTTTGTTTTTTACTCACCCTCATATCAGAACTAAGTAAAATGTACACTACTGTTCAAAACTTCAGGGTCAGTTTAAATGTTTAAATGGCACTGAATGGCATTTAGTAATTGTGTGTATTATAACAAACATCTTCAAATATGATAAATTGAATTATTTACTTTCAAAAAAATATGGAGGTGGAAGGTCATGCTCACTATTCACTTTCCTTGTATGGAAAAGAAGACCTCGGACATTCCATTCAATTTCTCCCTCTACAGAAGTAAGACAGTCGTGTGTGTTTTAAAGGAAAATAATGGTGAAAAAATAATGACAGCATTTTCATTTTTGGTCAGCTCTCCCTGAAGAGTTGTAGATATTAATGTTTTTAAACATTTTATCAATGTGAGCAATAAAATGTTAGAATGTCAAATTATCAGTATACTTGCAGGAAAAGCCACTAACTTACTACTTCGACTAAATGAAACGTCAGAGTTTTTAACGAGGCAGAAAACCGCCCTCACACACACTCGCAGAAGCTTCACGCTGGAGAATATAGAAGCACAGGAGCGCTGAGTCTGAGGAGCGATTCTGAATGTACACATATCTGCGCAGCGCAGCTCTGCTGAACGGATGCCGCCTAAACCTCTTTGTGCCTGCAATAGCACCCCAGACTCATTCTTATTCAAACAAGATGAGACTGGAGGCAGGCAACAGAGATTAGCCTGAGATCAAAAGGCGGTGAAGCACTCGTGTTTTGTAGATTCAGACGGGCCCCATCCAGCATGTAAGATCCACGAAGGAGCAGAGCGCTGCGCCGATGCCACCCTCTCCAAGGGACAGAGAGGAGTAAGATGAGCAAAAAGAGAATAAAGAAAGAAAGGAGCAACGACAGACGGCCAAGACTACATCTCCAGTGTGAAATATTGGAATTAGTTTATGAAAAAGAGAGAGAAGAAAGAAAAAGTAAGCCGTCACTGTGAGCAATTATAGTAGGACAAAGATACCTCTCCCTTTTTTCAATGCTAGAGAGATGAAACTGTTTCCATATGTATAATATGTCACCGTTTTCGGAGAATTTGTTTTAAATATGAAATACTCGTCTGACAGACAGTAATATGGAAGCATGTAACCTAAGAACATAGCATCTGGATCTGCAATATGCAACATAAGGGTGGCAACTACTGCGACGCCTGCGTGCCAACTGTGATTAATATAAATAAATGTGGGGGGTTTGTTTCTCAACACTGTATATGTTTCGTAGTTAATGTAGACTTAATAGTGGCATTAGTGCACAAACTGGTCCGTCTTTGTCGCACCCTTAACGCAGAGTGCTGCTGGTACTTCAGTTCATAGCTAAAGTCAGATCGCTTATGCTTTTAGATGCACTGAGAAATACGAGGAAAAGCAAACAAGGCTGACTGCCATATTTGTGTAATTTCCAGTTAATTTGGGGCTATTATAGATATTGCAAATAACACGGGAGCCTGCGGGAGCACTGGAGAAGAGGACTAGTGCAGAAACACACACACACACACACACACACAGACAGACAGACAAACCAAATCCTGACATAGCCACTGGCGAATAGACAGAGAAGGGTTCAAAAAGAAAAAGGTGCCTTCTCTACAAAGTGCACCACCTTTGCTGCGAGAAAACAACGCTCTTTCCCAACCACAATTCAGATCAAAGATTTTTATTTATTTATTTATTTTGGTAGCGAGAAAGTTTTTCAAATGACAAACATGGGAGCTTTGGTAAACTGGGTCAGAGCTGCCTTGCCTGTGTCTCCATGTTGACCCAGCAGTTGGGTTACTGCCCAGAAGGTTGGGTTAAACATTCAACTCAATTGTTGGTTAAAAACAACCCAATCGCTGGGTAAAATATGGACAAACCATAAAAAATGGGTTTTATTTAACCCAGAATTTTTTAGATTGTACATTTCATACATATTATTTATCTATCTATCTATCTATCTATCTATCTTTCTATCTATCTATCTATCTATCTATCTATCGATCTATCTATCTCTCTGTCTGTCTGTAGGATATTTTTTGTGAGAAAAAAATAATATCACCTTTGCTGCGAGAAAACAACGCTCTTTCCCAACCACAATTCAGATCAAAGATTTTTATTTATTTATTTTGGTAGCGAGAAAGTTTTTCAAATGACAAACATGGGAGCTTTGGTAAACTGGGTCAGAGCTGCCTTGCCTGTGTCTCCATGGGGTGGGTTGGTGGGGGGTGCGGAATGTCACACCCTGAACACCCAGGAAGAGAGGGATTAGATGGCAGAAAGCTTGTAAGTGATGCTTTCTTAAAAATATGCTGCCTCAGAAATATTGTTCTCAGAATGCAAATAAACTACGCTAGAGGAGGAGGCAGATTGAATCATGATTTTATTCTCAAAGGACTAAGCTGATGTCAGAACTAACCGTATATTGTTGAGTCTTAAAAATATTGTAAATATTTAAAGTAAATAAAAATGAGAAAAATATAAGAAATTAAACAAAATATAAAATTATGTACATTTTATTCATAAGAAATTAAATACAAGTGTTAGATTTTATATGCAAATTGTATTATCAAGGACTGATGTCAAAACTAAATGGAAAAAAAAAAGTTATAATCTTATAAAAGATTGTCAAAACTTAGAAAAGATTGTAAATATAAAACATTTAATGTTTACAATCACTGTGTGTGTGTGTGTGTGTGTGTGTATATATATATATAT